TACAAGGATTTTCGACCCCTAACAAATGAGTCCACCTCACCCTAAATATATCATATATTTGACTAAAATTGAGACTCGTTGATTTCTCAAGAGCGAGATGTATATGTGTACAAGATATAGGTGCTTTGAAATTTTATGTAGGTATACATATATGTAATACGCCTATACTTTATTGTGCAGCAGAAACCTCTTCGAATCTATCATTACCTTTATTTTCGTACACCTGGTGCGGCCACGTCATCATCAATTCTCGATCGCCAGATCTACCATCTACGGCTTGCAATCACCTATGTCATCGCTGCCTCCAGATAGTTCTACCACCTGCGCACCATTCTCCCCCCCCCCTTCCGTCCCGTGTCCCCGAAAAAAAGAAACTTCCTCTTTCAACGATTCCGGCGCACTCGGCTCAGCCTCCGCCTCCCACGCCGTCGCTGCCGCGGCCCTTCTTCCGTGCGTCTCCTCCCCGTCACAACAACCACGGCATCTCTCTGTGCTACATCCTCATGTTCCTCTTTCTATCAGGTTGGCATGGTCTTCTATTTTCTTTGGTGGTTGGAGGTTGACAGGGGCGGACCCACTGTTGTGCCGGGGTATTCCCAGGCATACCCAATATTTTTTTGGGAAAAAATAGCAGTTTGTAGAGATACTAGGTATCGTGAAATTAAAACTTTTGTATAGACCTCAAAACTTTTGTATTAAAAACACGTGGATCGCACGATAAGATAACAGTACTGTGAAATTAAATACCGATGTTATCGTGAAATTAATACGGTCACGAAGAGCACGCGGCGTCGTGGGCTCACCAACTCTACTGTATAGACCTTTTCATGATGTGGCTAAGATAATGTTTTATATCGGCAGGAAGAAACCTCCGATATTCATTTCTTTCGTGCAAATTGCCACTTGGGAAAGTTTACCATTTCGCTTTCCTTAGTCATTTGGTACCCATTGTGCGGTTCAAATGGCATCAGAAGTCAACATTACTGTTCATGTAGTCAAATTAGATAACTGGGTGATGACGTCACCCCTTTTTCCGTTAACTAAAAAATATTCTCACTGTACAGTTTGACAAGTATTTTTTAACAATGGCCAAAAGTTCAGAATTAAAACAATATGGAACATACAATCATTTGATTCTAAACAAATATGAAAATGGACCATGGAGGGGATAATAAAGGCCTCTTGTAGATGTGTCGTTGCAAATTTTTTCCCAAGCACCGACGATGAACTTCCTGCCGGTGGCTACTGCCTCATCGTCGCCAAATTTTTCCTGCTGATCATACAAAAATAATTGAGTTAGAAACAGTAAGTCCAACCATTATTATCATTGATAATGTATATTTATTGCACTTGAATATTACCCTTGGATGCAAGTTTAGATTGATTTCTAACAAACTGCTATTGGTCATGCTTAGACCCCACCAGGACCCTGGTAAATCCGAATGTACCCAAAAACACATACAGATATCAGGATATCCAGTTGGAAATGCTTTTCGGCCTCCATCCTTCGGTTATTTCTTTGGGACCACAGATCATGCAGAAGATACACAAATAGGAAATCCCACATAATCATTCAATGCGAATCCCTACAGTATGTTTGCCCATTTTAAGTGAAGATACCAGCTTTTGGGAGAATGGATGTGTTCTATGCAATGTCTATCAAATCCTATGTAGGCAACAACTTATCTTATTAATTATTATATAGTAAGTTAAATTCTACGGGCGAGGGTAAGGCTTACCACTGACACCATTCCCCAGATCCCGCACAGAGCGGGAGCTCTCTGTACTGTGTACAGTAAGTTAAATTCCAGTCATGAAATTTTACAGAATAAGCAATCCAATTTGTGAATAATCAAACTGAAGAGCATAACTACACATTCTGCCGGATTGATGCTATCCTGGCCCCGTTCGGCTTACCTTATATCCGGCTTGTTCGGCTTCTTTTTTTCAGTCGGAATATTATTTTTCTCTTCCAACATTTCAGCAAGAACAGTATTTTTCAGCCAATTTCAGCCAAAGATTCAGCAAGCCAAACGGGGCTATATGCTCGAATAAGCAATCCTATGTGCTCGAATATGCTGCCGGATTGATGCCCAAATTCACATCTCCCAGCTTGATGTCCCAGTCCCACCACAGTGGTCTTGTCACGATGCAGCAGACATCTTTGCCCAAATCGAAATCCATCAGCTGGATGCAGGAACAAATATATATACACGTTGTAGACCTAAATTATCTTGACATTATTCTGTTCCCGTTGCAAGGCACGGGCATGATCCTAATGAACAAAAAGAAACTAAAATCAGAAGTTAATAATCACACTAAATCCATGGGCAATGGTTAATATTCCAATCTTCCAACTTGTTTATCGGAGCACATCACCATGTAATTAGTTTGATATGATTCACGAAGGGCCACTGATCTGATCTGAAAGTAACAGGGTAACATTGATCTGTAGCACCCATGAGAAAATCCCTTACAGGTTGTATCACTGAAAAATCAATGTGTAAAATACAGTAAGACTGAAAAATACAGATCAGATACTTACACGATAATTAACTTTAGTTTTTATCTTCTTTGTGTGCTTGCAGGGTACATGAATCTGGCTTGTGCTGTAAGGTAGACGAGCAAAGAGAAAATCAATGCCACAAAGAATCAAAAGGATACCACCTTTCGAAATGTGACAACAAGAAAACCACAGCCTATTCTCATAGCTTGTAGATGTGGAAATGCTGCTAGCTACATCCTGAAAAAAATACAGAGAATATGTTTCATGATCTGAGTACATTTATAACCTCCAAAGGTGAGGACTCGGAGAACCTGTGGGGTGAGTACATTTTGTTCTCTCATTATTTTCTAATAATGAATATTATTTGTTCATGAGTTTTAAAATTTTTACTTTGATATTCTTATTTTTATGAAGAAGAATTCCTAATATTTAGTTTTCAAAATAAAAAGGAATTCTATCGTTGTCATTTCAAAATAAAAAGGGATTCTATCATTGACATTTCTGAGAACGAAAGTTATCTGCACATGGGGCAGTCAGGGTAGTACAAGCAAGCTGTTCTGTACCTTAGGAGCTCGTGCTCCTCCATATCACCAGAGTTCAGAGTGTTCTCGAGATAACCAATGAAGTTTCCATGGCCAATGTGATCTGCAATGTTTGATTGTTCTTCGCAACAATAGAGCCTTTTCTAGATTGTTCATCCAGGAAAGAAACATAATCGTCTTGTTTAGTTTCAATAGAGAGAAATTTAGTCTTTTCTAGAAAAAGATTCGACATACTTTGTTTTGGGAGAATTCATATGCCAGGAAAGAAACATACTAAGATTAGTTAGTTACCTGAAAACGAGCCATGTCCATTTCTGAACCAGCAGAACCACCGAGCCTGACAGCAACTCTCATCGGCTCTTCATCATGACAACGAATCAAGAAGCAGCAACAGCAGCACAAGGTGAGAGCGCGAACCAAGACCAAACCACCTCCTGAACACCCTTCCACCGGTTTCACAGGGGCAGAAGGAGGAGAAGAGAGGAGCTGTGTCTGCAAATTCCAGAAACATTTAAGCAAAATCATTGTAAAAAACGCATTAAAAAATAGTAGCATATACGTTTGCATTTCTAACCCGGTAAAATATTTCCACTTTTGTCCGTCCATTGGTGATTATTTGGGTTGTTTGGGAAGACCGAAGAGGCTTGTGTGGTGCCTCTTCTGCAATACTATGAATCTGATATGTCCATTGGCAGTAGAATGCTGCTTCCTTAGCTCTGGATTGTTTGGATCAAGACTGGTGGCAAATTCAGCATCTATACACACAATTGGAGTACAATACAGGTCAATATTCAGAAAGTGAAAAAATAGATTATAGAAAAGACAAAGACAGGTAATAGTCACTCGTCTGAAGCATTATAGCATGGAATATATTTGAAGCCAAGTAATAGTCACTCGTCCAAATACTTTTGGTAATTGGTTCTGACTTCTGAGATCTAATCTTCTGTTCAAGGCCAACATGTCCAACAAGCTATGAACCTTCTGAAAATTCACATGATGATTTGGAATGAATAGAAATCCAACTACCCTAACACATTGGCGATGCACGTGCCTTTCTATTCATACAAAACACATACGACTGAAGGATTGATTCCAGAAAATTAAGTTTTCAGAAAACTGCAATCAGCAAAAGTACCAATCAGATCTCAATAGGTACAAGCAATAATTGAAAAGGAAAATGGTTGGGTTTAAAAAAAAAAAGTGCAGTTGTTGCTTCTCACAACTCAGCCCAAAACACACACAACGGCCCATCTGGCCTTTTCCAATTCCCACTCGGCAACTCCCCACACCAAATCAACCCTTGACGGCTCGACGACTCCAGACACGGACACACCAAGCGAGGTAGCGAGCGGAAGTGCGCCGAATCGAGAAAACAACACCAGCCACTGGGGAACCCTAGCGCAGCCGGCTGCCGGCAGCGTCGCGCCACCCCCGCCCTGCGTGGCTGCGCCGGTACGCCCCTGCCCCATCCCTCCGGCCACCACGGCTCGCCAACAGCCAGCTCCGCTCCCCTACCCTCGGCCGCCTCGGCGCGTCAGCGCGTTGCCGGCGCCCGGCCTCCCGCGGTCTCGAGCTCCAGCCCCCAGGTTCGCTCCATCCAGGCATACCCAACTTTGAAATCCTGGGTCCGGCACTGGGTTGACTCCGTGTTTTGCCTTCATATTTGATATGGTTTGTCATGTGTTAGGGTTCGGCTGCTGCATTTTTTTTTCTCGCCTACAAAACCCGTGGAGCTTCCGCCCAGAACCACTACCGGCGTCGCCCTAAATTTTACTGTCCCTCGGATCTTCCATCAGATGGCCACGATTGCCTGAAGCGGATTTTACCGGGAGCGGATTCTGGGCCTGCTTCTTGTTCCAAACACACTACACAACCTGTCCCCGTCGCTCCCCATACCAACCACTCTCCCTCCCCTCCCCCCTGCGTGCGCTGCCGCTTCGCAACAAGACACGATGCGGCGGTCCCTCTCCCTCCTCGCACGGCAGGTGGCTCGGCGGCGGCTGCTGAGCAACGTGCCGGAGTCCACTGTCTACGGGGGGCCACGCCCGCAGGAGTCCTCGGCGGCGCGGCGCGTGACGGTGACCACCCTCCGCGGGAAGCATCGCCGCGGGGAGCCCATCACCGTCGTCACCGCCTACGACTACCCCTCGGCGGTCCACGTCGACTCCGCGGGCATCGACGTCTGCCTCGTCGGGGACTCCGCCGCCATGGTCGTCCATGGCCACGACACCACGCTCCCCATCACGCTCGAGCTCATGCTCGAGCACTGCCGCGCCGTGGCCCGGGGCGCGCCGCGGCCGCTCCTCGTCGGCGATCTCCCGTTCGGCTCCTACGAGTCCTCCGCCGCGCAGGTACGCGGCCCCCACATCACGCAGTACTTGCTCCTTGCATTCGTGTCACCGGCGACGTTTAAGAGCAGGTTGTACCTTGTCACTGCAGAAATCTAATGTTTGTTAGATTTGGACAGGAAACATCTTGTTGTACAATATATAGTCCTCGAACTGTAGCTCTCTCCCCATTTAATTGTTTTTTTTTTTTGATTCAACACTAGATGTTCAGCAACAGCACCTTTTTGCTTATAACCAAATAATGCTGCAAAAGTACCACACCAAATTCTAAAAGGAAAACACAAGGTCAGCAGGTTCAATGTTATTAATGTGCACGCACAAATGCACTTTTTTTTAGCATGAAACGGCAGGTGCTCTGCCTTTGCATTAAGTAGAAGGTGCAGAGCAACAACAAATTTACAGATAAATGCACATGTTTGAGGAATACTGATGGTATTTTCATATTCTTTTAGGCTGTTGATTCAGCTGTGAGGGTGCTGAAGGAAGGTGGAATGGATGCAATCAAGCTGGAAGGGGGTGCGCCATCGAGGATCGCTGCAGCTAAGGCTATTGTGGAGGCTGGTATTGCAGTCATGGGGCATGTTGGCCTCACACCGCAAGCTATTAGTGTGCTCGGTGGATTTAGGCCTCAAGGGAAGACGGTTGACAGTGCTGTAAAGGTGTGCTGCTCCTCATTGCTTGTGGTCTGGCTATATATTTGTTGGTACGCCTTTGGTGTGCTGACTGATTGGTAGGTTTCAATAATACAATCCATGCTATTGTGCTTGTGTAGGTTGTGGAGACAGCACTTGCCTTGCAGGAGGCTGGATGCTTCTCGGTTGTGTTGGAGTGTGTGCCTGCTCCAGTGGCAGCCGCTGCAACATCAGCATTGAAAATCCCAACCATTGGCATTGGGGCTGGACCATTCTGTAGTGGACAGGTTCGTTTGTTCATTACTGTGTAAAATGAGTACTAGAGAACTAGATATTGCTTTGCTCATTGTTTTAAAGGCGGTAAGGCGAGGCGGAGGCGAGCGACCCCCTTCCGGACGCCTAGGCGAATAAGGCGCTCGCCTAGGCGACGCCATACAGACAATTTAATATATAATGCCAATGAAAAATCAGATGCCAATCCAACCTTAATATAGCAAATTATAAGCATAATATGTAGTGCTATTAGAGTTCTAGAGCACCACATAAAGTAGCAAGTAGCAAATATGAAATGTTCCATCTCTTAGTAGCCATAAACTAGTCTCTAATGGCATATATAACTTAATTAGTAGTGCTGCTAGTGCAGCACATATATTAGCTTACAAAAGAGGGACTGAAATCTCTAATCTCTCAAGTCTCAATAGCCATCATCAAACTCTCCAGGGATGTTGGCTGCCTCATTGTCTTCTCCAGTTTCATTGGCATCATTTGGATCATCCTCACAATCTGTCACATCTGCATCATCAAATGGATCTGGATTTTCTTCATTGTCTGAACCCAACTCATCTTCATTCACCGCAGGTGCAGAATTTCTTGCACGCTTGTGGGCTGCTCTTGGAAAGTTTCGGCCTTGAAGTGATTGAGATGCTCCAACAGCTTCATCAACAAGGTTCCAAGTAAGGTCACACTCACACCCACGAGCACCTTGAGGGGGTACATGCAATGAGTCAGCCCACTCATTGTTCCAATCAAAGTCCTCAATAACCAAAGGATCAAAGTTTTTTCCCTTCTTTTGGCGTAACTTTTGGAACCTAGATTTCATCTTCCGGTTGTAGGAAACAAAGACAATAGAATTCAGCCTCTTATGCAACAATCGGTTCCTTTTCTTTGTGTGGATCTACAAAACCAGAAACACAATTGCAACCAAAAATGAATAAACTGCTTGCTGAAATATTGGTAAGGGCAGCAAGCAAATGAGGAAATACTCACAGATTCAAATTTGCTCCAATTTCGCTCACAGCCAGATGAGGAAGCACAAAGACTAACCACACACCTTGCAAATCTTTGTAGTTCAATAGCACGGCCACCATAGGAATGCCACCGATCAACTAGAGCAAACAAGTGAAACAATATATTAGGAGCTAGGGCCTAAAAAATGCTAGCTGGAATTAAATTGATATGATGTACACTTGCTGAAATTAAAATGGAAATGAAACACTTACGAGGACTCATTGACTCAAGGTTTTGTATGGCCATCTTATTTGAAAAAGCTTCTCTAAGATATTCATAATCCATGGCTTGAGCATTGATCTTGCTTCTAGTTTCCTCATCCTCCACCATTCTTGCAAGCACATCAAGAAAGCAGCCTCTTAGCTGTCCAACAGTTGCATCATCATCCTTTTTTAGGAGAGGATGTAGCTTCCCTGGGTTCAAATACATTGCAGCCCCATACAATGGATGATCCATTTGTTTCTCCCAACGTCGCTCAATTATTCCCATGATCTTCTTGAGCAAAGATTTCTTGGATTGGATGGCAAAGCTTTGATTGATCCTCTTCTTTGCATGGTTCATTAGAGCTTGAACCTCCGGCATTGCTGGTTTCTCATCTCCATCAACCACCCTAAGCACAATAAGGAGTGGGGCTGAAGCTCTAACGCAATCTTCCACTGAATTCCAAAACTGTGTAGAGAGCACAATGTCATGCACATCTAGACCAGCTTTAGTTTTTGTTAATTTGTTCCCAGTCCATGCTTCGCTAACCATTAAAGACTTCAAGCATCCTTGTGCTTGTACAAGATCTTCAAAGTCAAAAAGGCCGTTGCAAAACGTGTGGCTGCTGGCCTCACAAGGTCAGCCCCACCTGTTTTCTCCCTCATGGCACTAAGGATCCTCCCATGCCTATAGATGAAAGTTGTCACCCGCCTTGCACGTGTAATAGGTTTCTTGAATTCCGACAAATTCCCTATATCTTCTAACATGAGATCCAAGCAGTGCGCAGCACATGGAGTCCAAAATATTGTAGGAATCCTGTCCATGAGAATCTTGCCTGCGGCCTTGAAGTTAGCACCATTATCTGTGACAACTTGAACAACCTTGTCTTTCCCAATCTCCTCAACCTTCTTCTCTAGCAAACCAGCAAGCATGTATGCATCATGTACTTCACTTGATGCATCAATGGACTCCAAGAAATAAGTCCCCTCCGGGCTCTTTACAAGGAAGTTAATCAAGTGGCGGCCCCTCCTATCAGACCATCCATCAGACATGAGTGTGCAGCCATAATGTTTCCATGCTCTCTCATGCTCCTCTCTCATGGTACTTGTTGACTTGACAGCTTCTTGAAGTAATGGCTCCCCAAGTTGATATGGTGTTGGAGGCTTGTACCCTGAACCATATTGTGCTGTGGCTTCAACTGCAATCTGAAATTGTCTTGCTGCTGCTGCATTAAAAGGTATGCCACATTCATAGAAAACAAGGACCATTGTGTATCCATATAATGCTTCTCTTCCTTGGTTTTTGTACTGGACACAATTGTGGGCTGATAAGACCCTGAAAGTCTCTCATCTACTATCTCTTCTGGTGTTTTTCGAAGCATCTCAACTACAGATTTGTTTGCCTTTCCCTCTGGTTTAGTCTTGTTACCAACAGCCATGAATTGTAAGGATGCTTTCCTCTTTTTTGCTGCTATCCCTGAACTAGGCTGTACCGCAGCAGCAGCCTCATTTGCTGCCACCGCCACCACCTCATCATCTAGAACCAATGGTCTTTTCCTCTTGTTTGCATCCAAGTAAGCTGCCATCTCCCTCCTAATTTCAGTGCTCACACTTGGACATAGTTTTGCATCTCCATAACCTCCTGCCAAATGTTGCTTCAACCTTTTAATCCCTCCATGAACTGAGCCGCCACATAACCCACCTCATCTCTGTTTTGAAGGTTTGGCCAATAGCCAAACCTCCAAGCTGGATCTTTTGACCTTTGCGGCTTTCGGGCTGGATCGTTCTTGGGATCATATCCGCTGACGATTGATGGTGGACTTGCCATGGTTCCTGCTGTATAATTTTTATAAACTAATGATTTCAGAGAATGGCAAAGTGTAGGAATCAGTAAACTACCAATTTAATTATCTACTAGCAGTCTAGCACAGAGCACAAACAGAGCAGAAGCAGCTAAAACAGAGCACCCTCCAGCCTAATAAACAAATCAAATTAGCATAAAAGGCAGTGCAATTAGCATATAAAACAGAGCAATTAGCATATAAAATAGAGCAACAGCAGCTAATGTACTACTCCATTTAGCATCTATAAATCAAAGCACAAGTAGACAAAGCAACAACTGTACCCATGTGATTGCTATCTGCTCTGTTTTATATGCAAACAAACAAAGCAGGAGACAGCCGCATGCAAGCTTCTGCCTTTGTAAGAGCAAACAAAGCAGGGGACAGCCGCACATGCCACATGCAAGCTTTGGCCTTTTTAAGAGAGAAACATAGAGGGAGGCGAGGGATACCTGGTCCAGTGGAGGGCTGGCCTGAAGGCTGAGCAGAGCTGGGCATCGGGGAAGCCATGGCTTGTCGCTGGGCGGAGTTGGGGACCAGTGAAGCCATCCTGGGTCCACCGAAGAAGCAGGTCGTCCTGGTCCGTGCGGACGGACGCACGGGTCCGCACAGAGGAAGCGGAAGACTGGCAAGCGGACGCGTGCGGGAGGCTGCGCGGCTCCGAGCGGACGCAAGCGGGACCTGGCCGTGAGTGGGGAAGAAACACCAGCAGGGTCTGCCTCTCCCTCTCTCTTCTCAATCCCCTCCCTCTCTATTCCCGCGCGATTTCCTCTATACGTGCGCGCTGGAAACGATGGAAGGCGGGAGAAGTCCTGCGCGGGAGCGATTTCCCGCCCTGGGTCCCTTCCCTTTCCCGCGTGCGGCTGCTCACGCCTACTCACGCCTATGGCGACCGCCTCAGGCTGGTTGGCGTCGCCCCAGACGCCTAACGCAAAAGGCGGATGCCTTAGACGTCGAGGCGGATGCCATATGACACCTGGCTAGGTGACCCCCGACGCCCAGACATTTCCGTCGCCTGGACGCCTAGTCGTCGCCTGGACGTAGGCGATGCCTTAAAAACATTGGCTTTGCTCACAGATACAAGATGTTGATTCTGTTCATAGTGTACATGCCATCAGTCATACGGAGTACACACTGATTATTTAGTCTTTTCATCAAGTGAATACATGGCATTCCCTCAAAAAACACATGCATGCCTTTGTGGTCCTCTCGTATCATAAAACTAGAATACTCCGCGCGTTGCCGCGGGAATTGTGGATTAGTGGATTGCGTGGTATGATAACATGGACAACAAAATACTTGTGTCTTGCTGACGTGGACATTACAATTGCATGGGCTAGTGGATTTTAATTGTGTGTGATAGTGGATTGCCTAGTTGGACAACTTGCATATTGAGAGAAATAGGTAGTGGGGTTTTGCTTTATAAGAGTATAAGATAAGATAAGCATGTTATCTTAATATATTATGCTACTAGTGAACTCGTCAAGCAAAGTCACTTGACCACTTCGATATCAGTTGTTTATGACATCTGAAGATGCATAACATGTTTGCTCATGAAGCCTGGCATGCACTTATTATAATGCAGGTCTTGGTATACCATGACTTGTTAGGGATGCTGCGACACCCACATCATGCCAAGGCAAGTGTTTATTTACTCCTATGCAAAAACAATAAGGTTGAAGTGGGGTTCCTAAGCATTTTTTTCTTTGTTACTCGTACAATTTTATTAATCCCAGTGTGTACTTCTGCTCTCCCACAGGTCACACCAAAATTCTGTAAGCAATTTGGTAACGTGGGCGATGTCATCAACAAGGCGTTATCAGAGTATAAGCAAGAAGTGGAAACTCAGACTTTCCCTGGTCCAAGCCACACACCGTATAAGATAACTCCCACAGATGTTGATGGCTTTGCAAATGCACTGCAGAAGATGGGTTTGAGTGACGCCGCAGATGCTGCGGCTGCTGCTGCTCAAAACAGTGAGAAAGGTGGAGAACCAAACGGAAACTGTTGATCTAATGTTAGTTGTTTTCAACAGATACACTAGATCTAGATGAGAATATCAGGGCAGATTATCTAGCATAACGGTGTCCTGCAGTAATCTTGCCAGACTGCAGGTGTATACTGAAACTGAGAATCCTGATGTCGTTGACTGGACAACGGGTATCCTTAATAAACATGAGCTGGATGTTCTGAGTAGAAGAAAGCTATGGAACTATTACAGTATCACTTTCGAGAAAGCTATGGAACTAACACAGTAATCACTTTCGAGTTTTGACACATGATGCTGATCTTTGGCTGCTCAAGATACACATACTAGCTGTGAATGATTGTCATATGTCAAATGAACAAAATAATAAAGTGCAGCCTTATATTTTACAGTATTTGAGGTCTACTGGTCTAGCTTACAGCAGGACGCCTTGATCCTTATCAAGCTGTAAATTTAATATATAAAATGTAAATTACAAATATGTATGTGCCCGAGAAAATTAAACTATCCATCCACAATGGAGTACCTTCTCCTCACAAAAAAAAAAAAAAAAAAAAAAGAGGAGTACCTTCCGAACATATTTAGCTTCAAATCTTCAACGCCTTGCTGCATGGTGCACATACTACAAGCAACTTTTCTATTTACAAACATCCTTTTGACAAATCATATCCGAAATTTTAAATTGGCTTGTGCAAATGGTTTTTACAGTGTTTGGGTAAAGAATGGTCACCTACGCGCGGCATGTTTAATGCTAAACTAACGAGTCAAATCAAACGCCACATCTTCCGCTTACAGCGGTGCGAAGCACCACATCCGGGTCAAGGGAGAAAATTCGGAATCCGCATCGATTGAATGAGGCGTGAGATGAGCTAAGCGCGACTCAAGCGCCGCATTAGCACAGGCAAACAACAGGCAACAGAACGCCAGAACTCAAACTCCGTAATAGAACTGACGAGCACGAGGCAGGCACGCCGCCGCAGATCTCCAGCGCCGACTGCCCTGCGGCCGCGGAGTCGCGCTCGAAGCCATCGCGGACGAGGAGGCTGAACTGGAGGGCGGAGGAGACGACGGCCGTCGGTGACTGTCAGTTGCGTCGTCGTCCTTCCACTGTGGCCGAAGGAGTGAAGGTAGAGAGAGAAACGTCAGAAAATATAAGTGTGGCCTCTAGATGTTTTTGTTTTTCCGGTTGTAAGGGCCCAAAACGGATGGAATTTTAGTGGGCTCACCGGTCATCTAAGTAGCACTTTTAGCCCAACCAGTATGGATCTGTATTTTACAGGTGAAATATAAATCAGGTTGGTCGCTGTTGAGGCCCAAACATGTACATTTCATGCTTTCAATTTCACTAATAGTGTGATTTGGCGAAAGGGGCTCTGGTCTGTGTCACCAACACTGGAGCACTGTCTGAAGAACATGAAGCAACTAAGGAGTCTGATGATGCTGAAGTTTCTGAAGAAAAGGCGCCAAAGGAGCAGCGAAGAGGAGAAAGATTCAGGAGGGCCAACACGAGATTACATGGGCCTGAATGGCTGTGACGCCCACGACGCAGTAGCCATTAGCTAGTACCCATGTAACGGGTTAGGAGGCCCAGATGACTCCTATGAAGGAGAACGTTGAACCTGGAACAGAACACATGAACCGAGCCCGAGAGGCGTCGGCGTCGAGCTCGGCGGTTGCCGGAGTCTCGAATCGAGAGTTTCTCTACCCAATTCCTGTCGATCTACCTTAGTTAGGTACTTAGGTTACAATCTGGTGGTAGGATATGCACCCACCGGAGGCTAGAACCTTTCAATATCTTTCTTTGTGTGTTCGGACGTGCAAGCGTACGTGTGCATATGGAGTGTGTAGGTTGTGTGCGTCATAGTGTACCCTCTAAGAAAGAATAGTGTAATTGCTCCTCCGTTATTTTCAGAAGAAAAAATGACCCCACTCAGCCATTGCAAAAAAAAAAAAAACTATAGTGTTATTTGCTCCGCCGTTATTTTCACAAGAAAAATTCCTCCTAACTCTGCTCAAGTATTTGGATGCTCCGATGTACCCTCTTCTACTATAAAGTGGTTTTGAAAGCGGTTTTGGTTGACGTGTTGCCACGTCACCGAGAGAGGTAAGGGACTTTACGGAGGTCCATTAGACTTTACAAAAAGTCATAGAACTAAATTTTAAAAAATATTTAGATGTTCTTCTAGAATAAGTATACGTTTAAAAATTACTAAAAAACTGATTTAATTTTTTAAAAATTATAGATTACTTATTTCTAACTCAAAAATAAATATGCAACCAGTTCCATATTTTCTCTAAAATCATTCTCTATGTTTTTCGAAGTTAGGAATATAGAGCATGATTTTAGAAAACATACGAAGTCCGGCATCCCGAGCCCATCCAAACTGGCTTTCTACTTGATCATGTGCTCTCGGTGCATGCGCAGACCTACACTAGTGATAACGAATGAGGAAGAAGTTGCATCCGTCCGGATGCTGTTGACCAAGTCGTAGATGTGTAGAGTCTGAGAAGTCGTATGCCAGCTGCTGCTAGTGGTCCAACCATTCTGCACATGCCATCGATGTGGTGTTCCCTAAAGAAGACAACACAACTACAAAATTAAAGCACATGGTAAATGTTGTTAATGTGCAATCAAAGCTTGAATTGTATTTTTTTATTTGAACCATCCTATGCACGTCTCAATGGTTAAGCTCTTTTTTTTTTCAGTTTGCAATAATTCAGGCTACGATCCGCAAGAATTTGTCTTTTGTTTGCATCCTTCATTTCATATCTAGCTAGTTTCAAATTTTAGAAGACCATATAAGATTCAAATAATTCTAACTAAGAAAGAAAAAAGGTAGAACTTGATTATAGGAAAAATAAAAAGCTACTTTCATATTTTTCTAAGTTAAATCAAAATTTATATGAATTTTCTAATATTAAATCAGATTTTACTTTAAATGCATATTATTCTAGAAAATATTTGGATATTTTTTGAAAACTCGTGTCTACAATTTTTATAAATTTTAATTGACCTCTCTAAAATTTTGTGAAAGTCCGATTTACTTTTGAGGTGGCGCTAAAAACCACATTCATAGCCACTCAGGGAGGCAAGCCACCCAGAGAGGTAAATGGAATGGTTTGAAACACTTGGTTGGTTTTATATTTGGAGAAGCTAAATCGAACTACCCAATAATTGGCGGGGTTCAGAGTTTTCACAACGTTTTAAGACCATATAAAAAAGAAAGGGAGAACCGCACGTGTTGGTCGTGGCTGATGTTGCCCAGAGCAGGTCGGCCGGCCTCCAGAAATAGCGCAGCAGGGCCCAGGCCGCATGCATGCAGTGGGAATGCGACCGACCAATGCCCAAGCGCGTTGGCACAAGCCAGAACCACGGATAGGATACGTATACGTGGTTCGCAGATTGCAGCCACATATATGTATCCATGGCTAGCTAGTTGTTTACGCAAGTGCAAGCTGCGCCTGGAGCAACGAACGAGAACGCAAACGCCATGGCGGGCAGTAGTAGAAATGGTGCTCAGCTCACACTCCGCATCATTCTCTTCTGCGCCTTCGCCGCCTCCGCTACCACCTTGCTCCATCTCGCCACGGACCCATGCGCACACTCGCTGTCAAGAAGCATCCTCGCCGCCACCGGCCTCGACGCGTACCTCCTCTCCTGCGCCGGCGACGCCTCCGAGGCTCCATTATTGTCGCAGGGCAACGACGCCAATAGCTAGGACCGGCGGCGGCAGGGGAGGGGAGCACGGCCCATTGTGACCGACCAGCTGTGCGTCAATGGCGAGTTCCCACCACACGCGCTCCCGCCTTTCCAGTGCTGCTCGCCGACGTCCGCGTCGGATCCCATCAACTTCAGGTTCCCAGACCCGGCCGAGCCGCTCCGGACGCGGAGATCCAGTGCACGTGGTCGGCGCCGAGTACATGGCCAAGTACGCGCGCGCTGTGGCGCTGATGAAGGCGCTGCCTGAGTCCGACCCTCGCAGCTTCTACCAGCAGGCTAACGTCCACTGCGCCTACTGCATGCACCGGCGTGCACCGGCAGGTGGGGTACCCGGAGCTGGGGTGGAGATCCACTACTCGATCGTGGCTCTTCTTCCCCTTCCACCACGCCTACCTCTACTTCTTCGAGCGCATTGCGACCAAGCTGCTGGGGGACCCCGGGTTCGCGCTGCCCATCTGGAGCTGGGACGTCCCCGAGGGCATGGGTATGCCCAAGGATGGCAACGGATCGGGTTTGGGGCGGATATCCGCGGGTTTCGGGTTCTGCGGGTTTGGATTTGGGGATGGTTTTTCACCCACGGTTTTCGGGTTCGGGGCTCCGAAACCAATCGGGTTCGGTTTCGAATTTGGTTTTCCACCCGTGGATATCCAATGGATATCCGAAATAAATCATTTGGAATTAAAACTCATATTTTATAATATACTAATAATAATTTGTTTACTTAGATTATTAAATTTATTTAAAGTTGACTCATGAAAATATTTATTATTTGTTGCCTCTTGTTTATACATGTGAATATGTGTATATATATCCGCGGGTTTCGGGTATCCATTCGGGTTTCGGGTATCCGTTCGGGTTTCAGGTATCCGCGGGTTTGGTTTTGGTGATGGATTTCCACCCGAATCGGCTTTCGGGGCGGATTCGGGTTTCGATTTTGGGTTTCGGTTTTGGGTGCACGGAGACTCCACCCAATCCGAACCCGACCCGTTGCCATCCTTAGGTATGCCTGAGGTGTTCACGCGCCGCCCAAGGTTGCTGACCTCGACTTCTTTGTTGGAGAGGAGAAGAACTTGACCGACCAGCAGCAGATCCTGCAAAACCTCCGGCTCATGTATAAACAGGTGCAGTCCAGCTCTGCCGTCTTTTTTTATCTTCCTCTCAGGTGTCTCATGCTTTGCAAATAAAGTTTCATTTATTTAGAGGAGGATTATGATCAGAGCAGTCTCAAATATGAAACTGGTTGCTAGTTTCCATAGGCAGTACAGGAAACTACTCGTGTGGGCCATCCAGCGTGCGTTGAACA